TCCAAAAGCGCTTAGGGTTAGATTTAATATCGGACTCAGCATTGCGTATATAATTATTATAAAGAAGTTTATTCAAATTCGTAAACTCTTTGGCGTAATGTTGATATTTAACAAAGAGCGAATGATTCTTTGTTAGTTTAAACTTAGTGTAAAGATTATTTTTAAGATTTTTTAGCTTTTTTAGATCTTTAGTATACCAAGGTCGTTTATATAGTTTTTTTTTCTTAACTGGTATATTACCTAAGCAAATTTCACGCATAGTAGCTTTAAAAGTAGAAAAAGAACTAAAGATATCCAAGTCCGAAAGTAGTTCGTCCCAATCGGTATTACTTATTAAATTATCCAGAGTTTGAAAATTACAAGCAAAATAGTTAAAAGATAATTTATCATCGGAATAAGGAACAGAAAAGTTATAAAACTCAACGTACAAGTCTAGAGAAACGTGGTGCAAACCAGACGGAGTAATAGAGGAAACACTTTCGGACAAGGTATAATTTATGTTATCACTAACAAAAATGAGATCAAGAATCTTATTCAACTTATTAAAGAAATTGTTAATTTGAACAAGGTTAAGACTTAAAAGACTGTCAATAAAATACGATTCGTGCGCAGAACTAATATTATTTGGTATAAGGCCAGATTTAGAAAAATTATTAGACCACGAAACGTTATTTAAATTGAAATCTCCAAGAACACAAATATGGTTTTCATTTACCTCACTTAAAGATAGAGAGACAATATTGTCAGCATGTGCCTTATACAAGTCAAATGGGCTATTTGGAGGAATATATGATACTATCAAATATAATGAGCCACAAGACGTGGAGCCTTTGACACAAACGCAGAGCTGGTCAAGCCGCGAGTCATCACAACGAAGTGTAATCGGGTAAGCCTGAAACCTACGATGTATGGCAATCAGAACACCACCACCTCGACAACAGCCCGTTTTGGCGGCATCCCTGTCTTTGCGAAATACGTTAAAAGTATTCGAATCAAAGAATTCACTGTCGAAAAAATCCGAGTTTAGCCAGGTCTCTACGATTACAATAATATCATAGTCCAATTGTGCACTAAACGCCTGAACCACATTAGCCTTCGTTCGCATTCCAGAAATGTTTTGGAAGTAAACTTTCAAACAAGGGACTTTCCCAGGAGGAATAGTACAATTAACAGCAACATTCGATGTTAGTTGCTAGGCAGACTCATTTTCTTCGGTAGCATTTTGGATAAATTGAAATGGTCGAACTTTGACGTCGGCTGGCCATAACGTAGGATTTAAAACCTTGTCAAGGAGCGTAGTCGAGACACCAAGCTTAAAGTTAATTTTCCTTAGCTTATTAATATCAGAATCTTTTTTAACGAGAGGGAAGCAGGCTATTTGACTGCTATCAATTTTGGCGGTTTTCGCTACATAGGAAATAATATTTGCGGCACTAACAGTAGGTTTGAAGGACGACAGATGGATCCATTTTTTGGATGCAACTACATCAAGATCTGTACTTTTGTTAACACCAATTACGACGTCAGTAGTGTTCTGTTTTTTGAACTTTCTTCTTTGCATTCGCGACCACTGTGCCGGAGAATGCCAGTTGGATTCAGCCAGTGGGAGTGCTGAGCGATGTGTCGACAGGGCGTCAGCGTTTGATTGAGATTGTACATTACCAATATGAGCAGCAGCCGAATTAGCAGCAGAGGCAGAAGTCGAGGCAGCATAGACAGCATCAACCACACAAGCCTTGTTAGCAACATCAGCATAAGAAGCAGGTATTGAGATAGCGGCTTCACAAACAGCAGTAGGATTACTTTGTTCACTCATTTGACGCGCCTTAGCAGGAGGCGAACCACTCAATTCACTTACGGATGAGCTGCAATTATTATTAGCAGTAACAGCCGGAACGAGTGTATCAGCAAACAACGTAGATGACGATGAGTTGTTTTTTTGAGTAGCATCACACAAAGTAGAGGACGACGAAGCGTTTTTTTGCTTGGTTTTGTTTTTTGCACTTTTCTCGTTTCCATTACGGCACTCGCATGCATTTACACACAAACGAAGATCTTTAACCTCAGCAGTGAGCAACGCGAGGGCAGAGGCAATATCTTCGGTCTGACGTTTATGCATAGCATTGATTTCCGATTGCAGCTCATCGGTTTTGCTTAACAAAAGCTGTTTGTCTGCATGAAGAGCACTAATATCTTGCATTGCGCGATCAAACTCAGACTTAAAAGCAGCCAGTTCACTACTTAATGTAGCCAAAGAGATTTGCCAGCTATTCTCATTATACATTGTTTTTGCATTGTTTACTTGTGCCGAGGTATGCAAGTTAGTTACACTTGTTGACATCGCATTCTCAATTACACTGTCCGCAATAGGCATTGTTTTTGCATTGTCAATTTGTTCCAAATTATACGAGTGAGTTTCGTTTGTTGATATTACATTCTCATCTACACTAACTGGAGGAGGAGGGGTGCGGATAGATCTGCGACGAACATCCGCACATATTTTGCAAAAATAATGTTTTGCCGAGCTAAGTAGAAACTCAACATCGGCTGACGTGACACCAACACAGCCTAAATGAAAAAAGTCATTGCACTTGGCACATTGCACTTTAGCTTTGGCGCTTCTCTCGACTCTTAGTCCACAAACACAAGGCATTTTAATTTAATGATTAGTTTTTATTTATTAATTTTTTTTTTTTTGATAGCCATTAAGCAAGATAAAGTCACTGTCTTGATCGCCTAAAACGTGCATTTGCTCTGGTCCTTTAAAAGGCCAATATAGCCCGAAAAACACAAAAAATCACGGAGCGCAGAAAAACCACGTCCGCTTTCGCGCGCTGGCCTACTGAAAATTTTTTATGTCGCACTGCAGTTCATCTTTATGTGTTCCTTTATGTCATATATTTAATTTGTCTCTGTCTTTTGGCACATTCATTGATAGATGGAAGATTGCATCAATTACTCCAGTATTCAAATCGGGCAATAAAAATGACATCGCTAATTATAGGCCTATTGCTAAACTCACAGTTTGTTCTAAGCTATTCGAAAAAATTATAAAGGAGAAATTATCTTTCGTTAACAAGAGCATTGTTGAGCCCCACCAACACGGGTTTATTGTCGGGCGTTCTACTGTTACTAACTTGGCATCTTTCTCTGAATTCTGTGTATCAGCTTTCAAAGATAGTACTCAGGTGGATACCATTTATACAGATTTTTCGAAGGCCTTTGATAAGGTGTCGCACGCAACCTTAATATATAAACTTCAGTCTATCGGCTTTCATTCTACCTTTCTACAATGGTTAAAATCTTATCTGTCTAATAGGACCTTGTTTGTTGAAGTCGAAACCTGTAAATCCCACTCTTTTGTGGCAACGTCGGGTGTTCCCCAAGGGAGTATCCTCGGACCTCTTTTGTTCGTCCTTTTTATAAATGACATTGGCTCCTGTTTCAAATTTTCTAGGTTTTTACTCTATGCAGATGACCTCAAACTCTTTCGTAGAGTTAACGACTCGTCGGATGTTTCTTCTCTGCAGTACGACCTGAGTTACCTGGTCAGTTCGTGTCATACGAACAAGCTTCACTTAAATGTAAATAAATGTTTTCATATGTCCTTCTCAAAATCTTCAAACATTATTTTTTCTAATTACAGTATTTCTATCACTAGCTTGGCCTCTGTGAAAGAGTTTGTTGACTTAGGCGTAGTCTTTGACTCAAATTTTTCGTTTGTCAATCATATCTCTTACGTGCTTCCAAAAGCCTACAGTAACCTGGCTTTCCTGCGTAGATATGCGAAAGTCTTTAAGGATCCATACAACAGGAAAGCTTTATTTATCTCTTTAGTACGATCAAAACTAGAGTACGCTTCTATTACTTGGAACCCCATTTACGGCTGTCATGCTGCCAGACTCGAAAGAGTGCAGAGAAAATGTGTTCGTTTTGCGTTAAGTTCCCTTAACTTTGATGACCCGATGCCCTCATATTTTTCCCGCTGTAAACTTATTCACCTACAAACTCTTGAAAATAGAAGAATTGTCCAGTTGCTCATGTTCGTTTTTAATTTGGTTGTTGGCTCTTTGGATTGTTCGGTCCTTCTGGAGAAGATATCCTTTAATGTGCCTCACAGATTTCTACGCTCATCTCTGCCGTTTTACTTGCGTGCTACTAAGGCTAACTATTACCATTTTGATCCGATTTTCCGCGCTCTGACAGAATTTAACAGGATCTCAAAGAGTCTAAATATTGATTTTTCGTTGCCGAGAAATATTTTCAAGTCATCTATTGATTCATTTTTCTTATAACTACGTGTGTATCTAAATCTATAGTATTTAGTTTTAATTATGATAGTCTTATTTTTATCTAGTCTGTAAGATTGTAATCATAGACTAAATAAACTGAATAAACATAAACATAAACTTCGGTAGCGACACTACAGCCGGCACTAACACTCTCACTTCTAACGGTCATATTTTCAATGTTAGGTGGCTTATAGGCTTTCAAGAGGCTAAACTTGTTTAAGATTTCGACCAAGTCATCCGGCAGGGGAGTGCAAGGAGTTCTGTTTCTATAGGACACCAAATCGCTTTTCGCATATCTATTTTTTATTTTAGTTAACCGTATGTTAAATAATTTCAAGAAATCACGCCCAAAGATGACGGGCAAAATAATATTTATTTTAACGTTTTTTATTTAATTTTTAAATTTCACAAAACAAACACACTACCCGTGTCAGAAAGAGAAATGAATTTATTAAAGTTTGCACTCTCCCGCGGGTTGGTCTTAAAAGCAATACTTTTATAATCTGGATTTGGATGTAAATTGAAAGAGCACGCGGTTTCTAATATACTTCTTTATTATATTACAACTTATATTCTAGTGATGATACAATGGTTATCGATATTCAAAGATGAGTATTTTATAAATGTTAGTGATCGAACTGCTGCAAATCCTAAGGCTGATAGTACATCTAGGTTGAAGTTATAACAGTTCTCCCCCGCTAATGAGAGTTATGTTAAGTCATAATCGCGGAGATGTGCAGGTTTATTGCGTATTCGTGCAGGTCTTTGACTCGACTGTTCCGGATTTTGAGCAGTTGACGATTGGGTTGGCTGCTCTGGAGTTCGAGGTAATGTTTCTGTATGTCTTTGAGATTCTGTATCGTTCGATTCTGAATTAGATTGAGATCCAGTTTCGACTTGTTGAAAATTGTACTGGCTATTCCTATGATTTTGTTGGTCTGCTGGGTCGGAAATCGTATTTGAAGTACTTCCCCGGGTATTACCTATGTCAGGAACATCTTGAGCGAACCTGACTTTCCGCTGTTGAACTTTTGTGACCTTTAGTTGATCTATATGGCGTTTTAAGGTGTAGCCGTCATCTAGTTTAATAATGTAGTGAAGTTGACCTAGCTTTCGTTGTACAGTACCTGTTTTCCAAATTGTTTTGCTGTTTTGTGTATATAACGCTTGTACTCTCTCTCCCTCGCTAATATGGCGCACACCTGGTATAGAATCCGTTACTTTATTATGTGTTATTGGTTTTAGCGCGTCTAATCGAATCCGTATACGTCTTTTTAGGTAAAGTTCTGCTGGGCTCATACCATTACTAAGAGGAGTTGCTCGGTATATTTGTAAAATGTCATTGACTTTTTGGCGTAGTGGACCTGGTTCTGTTGACATAGCTTTTAACTTCCTTTTAAGTGTTTGAACATTTCGCTCGGCAAGACCATTCGTACTCGGGTGCCCTGGTGCTATGAGCTTCTGGTAAATTCCATTTTTGCTGCAGTATGATTTGAAATGTGCGCTCGTAAAAATAGTTGCGTTGTCAGAAACCATGATCGACGGATATCCATGAGTAGCGAAAATATCCGATAGAAGGTTAATTGTGGATTGGGTTGTTGGAGCATCCCGTATAACTCGAAATTCTGCCCATCTAGACTTTGCATCCACGACCACAAGAAAATGATTATCCTGGAATGGTCCGGCGTAATCTATATGTATTCTTTCCCAATTTTCTTTTGGTTCCTCCCAGTGGTGCAGTGGAGCTTTCGCCGGTTTGTTTTGAACTTGAACACATGGTTCGCATGATCGTACTGTCCGTTCTATATCACGGTCAATACCTTTCCAGATACAATATCTTCTGGCGAGTTGCTTCATTTTGGTAACGCCTGGGTGAGTGCGATGTAATTCTTGAAGAACATTTTGCTGTAGGCTTTTTGGAATCACTACCCGTTGACCCTTAAAAATAATGCCGTTATTGAGCATATACGTACCTTCGTCGTTCCCGTTCATCATGTTGGTTAAGATGTTTGAAAGTTCGGGATCTTTTGCGGTTTCCGATGCTAAGATTTCTGAATTTATGTATTCGCTGGATATTTCAAAGATGGATAACAAACATAGTTCATTTATCTCTTCATTTATTACTTTGTCCGTGCAATGATTTCCTGGAATTTGCGTTGCTCTGGATAGACAATCTGCATTAGTATTTTCGGATCCTTTTTTGTAGATTACTTCGTAATTAAAACTCGACAGGAATTCGGCGTATCGCAGAAGTCTGGCAGATGTTATAGCTGGCATTTTATTGTGCTGGTGAAAAATTCTTGTAAGCGGGCGATTATCGGTGACAAGCTGGAATTTTCTTCCATAGACATACATAAAAAAATGATTTATACTGAATATTATTGCTAATGCCTCGCGATCTAGTTGGCTATAGTTCCTTTCTGCTGCAGTCAGTGATCTGGAAGCGAAGGCAACGGGATGTTCAATGCCGTTTATTGTATGGGAGAGCACCCCTGCTATACCTGTTGGGCTAGCATCGCAAGCAATGACTACTGGAAGTTCCGGATTAAAAGGTCTGAGTACCTGATCGCTACTAATTATGCTTTTGAGTTTGATGAAAACGGCTTCGCAATTGGAAGACCACTGAAACTGTTTTCCTTTCTGGAGTAGTTGACGTAGTGGGTAAGTTATGGACGATAGGTTTGGAATAAATCTCGAATAATATGTTACCATGCCTAGAAATCTTCTGACATCATCGACTGTTTTTGGACGAGCCATGTTTACAATTGTTTCGACTTTAGACGGTGACTTTGAAATTTGGTTAAATTGTACGACATGCCCTAGGTATTCTACGCGAGTTTTCAGAAACGAGCATTTGCTTTTATTCAAGTGTAAGTCATATTTCTTTAAGCGTTTAAGACATTCGACTAGATTTTGTTTACATTCAGCTTCTGTAGACCCGTGTACCAAAATATCATCGAAGTAGGACATGGTTTTGTTTAAACCCGATAAAAGTTGCTCTATTATACGATTGAATTCTGACGGTGCTGTTTTTTATGCCGAATGAGAGTCTATTCATCCTATATGTTCCCTTATGGGTCGAGATTGTTTGAATTTCACTGGATTCTGGATTTACCCTTATGTGTAAATATGCCTTATAGAGATCGAGACGACAAAAATATTTTGACCCTTTTAGGCTATTCAAAATTTCATCGATTCTGCGTATTGGGTAATTAGCTGCTACTAGTTGTGGATTAACCCCTGGTTTATAGTCGACGCATAGTCTTACTTTTCCATCTGGCTTCGGGACAATTACTAGTGGAGAACCCCAGTCGCTCCTTTCACATTTTGAAATAATGCCGGAAGCTTCTAATTCTTCTAATTCTTTTTCGACGGAGTCTCTCAATGCGTACGGAACTTCACGCTCCTTATAAAAAACTGGCTTAGAACCTTTTCGCAGCTGCAATGTGATTTCAATTTCAGGGACACATCCTACTCTTTCTTCAAAAACTTCGGGAAACTCATTAATAATATCAGATATTGAATTATGATTTTGTGCATTGACTTTATTTATGTTGTGTACGCGATGCTTATCGACTTGCTGAAGATTGATGTTTAGGTGTCGAATCCAAACTCGGCCTAACAGTGCATCATATTCATCAGGGACAACATACATTTCTTCGTCGGATATACTATTATTGAATTTTACCCTTACCTTGACTTTGCCATCGGGAACAATGATATTCTTCGTATATGAACGGAAAGCAACACTTGAAGGTTGTAGTTGCTCGTTTATCTGGAGTTGATTGAATTGGTTCCTTGGTATAAGGGTAAACCCGACGCCTGAATCGACCTCGAATTGTTGTTTTCGCCCATTTAATTCAACAGTGACATAATACTTATCAACATCACTGTAACTATGTTGATTCGAAAAAATATCTATAATGCGATTAATGCCATATATTTGATGAATTGATTCCTCGGTATCCTCTGATTTGACATTTGCGTTCTTTGTAGACTTCATTAATGTAGTGATGCATACTTGCTGTACATGGCCTCTTTTACCACAGGAGTTACATTTTAGGTTTTTTGCGTTGGTACGGCACTGCTTCGTTTTGTGGTTGTCTCGTCCACACCGTATACATAAATTATCTATACCAAGCTCTTTGTAATTTACCTTTGATTTTGCTCGTGCCTGCGGTTTTGAATGGCGGCTGGAAGAATGGCTTCTTCCACGATTCTGCTTTCTGCTTACAATTTTATTTACGTCACTAGTGCTATGCTTCGCGTTAATTTCCCGGCTATCTATTTTCGATGCTTCTAGCGATAAAGACTTTTGTACAATTTTATCAAAGTCAGTTTCTTCTGATTGAAGTATTTGCTCCCGTATTGTATTGTCAAATATACCTCGAATAAACTGTGCTCGTAGAAAAATGTTCGAAATATCGGCCTTACAATTGCACGACGACAGAAAATTGCATTCATTAATATCGCGCTTCAATAACGCTACGTATTCCGCAATTGTTTGGCCTTCATTTTGATAGGTTGACAAGAACCTATGTTGACTTACTAGAATGTTCCTTTTCGGGCAAAGATGTGCTTCTAATTTTTCAATTATGTCTTTGTATTCGACTTCATTAAGTGACTTCGGGGCAATTAGCGACACAATCAATTTGAAATGTACAGAGCCAATTGAATTAATTAACATTTGATGGCATAGTACTTTGTTTGTAAAAACACCTTTCATTGTTAAGTAATTCTCGAACCTTTGCCGGTATAACCTAAAATTTTCTTTTGTAGCATCGAAGTGTTCAAAAGGCGGTAAGAGCATTTGGAATGGCTGACTGCCTTGTTGTTGTTGCTGATTGTTCGTATTTGTGCTTATTAGACGCAATAAATTTTGTTGCGCTTTGTTGAATGCTTCTAGCATTTGTGAAAATTGAGTAGCATCCATTTTTGCTATTTTTCCCTTGTTTTACTCGTCGCCACTTTTTATAATCTGGATTTGGATGTAAATTGAAAGAGCACGCGGTTTCTAATATACTTCTTTATTATATTACAACTTATATTCTAGTGATGATACAATGGTTATCGATATTCAAAGATGAGTATTTTATAAATGTTAGTGATCGAACTGCTGCAAATCCTAAGGCTGATAGTACATCTAGGTTGAAGTTATAACAAATACTTACAAATTTAAGTGATTCCAATTCCATAAGTTCATCTTCTAGAACTGCGGCAACTTTTTTATCGGCAATCGGCTTCAAAACTTTCCGAGGATTTGTGCATGAATAGTGGTCGTGCCCCATTTTCCACCAGCGGAAACACGAACCACTGGGGCGCATCGGATATGGGCAGCTTCGCTTTATATGCCCCTCATAAAGCAATTGAAGCAGAGCGATTGGCTGTTCTTTCCAACTTGGTTGCTAACCTTTCCAGCGGCAGGCTGCTTACCGGAGGCGGCAGGTTGTTTAAAAGCGACGGCAGACGTTATACGTCGAATGATGCTGGAGTTTGGCTTAAGGTATTTTGTGTAATACCGATTCACTAGCCTCTTTAGCTCATCCAGTGACTGCGCCGGCATGAGCAACTTGATGTTGTTAATCTTGTTTCCGATCCCGTCAAGAATTAGGTCAATGACATCGGTTTCCCGGATGCCGCCCTGCTTCGCCAAAGCCTGCATGGTCAAAATATAGCAGTGCAGGGACTCTTCGAGGTGTTTCCACTTCCGCTCGGTCAGTGTTCGATAGACGTCCTGGTGACTGACTGCACTGTCGAATTCTTCAATGACCGCCTTCTTTACGTCTCGATAGTTAAGCGCAGAGGTCGTTGTTAGGAACACTCGAGCTGTTCCCTGGAGCGGCGTAGACTTAGCAGTTTGAACTGATCTTCTGCATTGAAAGTACGTATAATTTCCTAAAAAAAAAAATGGTGCACAGACCGTGTGGAGTTTTCACCAGTAAATTTTTGTACAGCGTGTTCGATGTCTGCGAACGAGGCTCTGCATCCGGTGGGCCTACCAATCGTGTTTTCCAGCTCATAAATCTGTTTCAGTTCGCGTTTCTTCCTTAGTTCCCTAAGCTGTTGTCAGCAATATTGTGCAAAGCAGCGGAGCTAGTGTCGCTGGCTAAACTATTGAAACCGTCAGGAATGCTTGCAGCAGCGGAACTTTCATAACCCAAGGAGCCGTTAGTAGCGGCGACGGCGGTTTTGGCACGAATATTTGCGGCAGAAATTTTTTCGGCATTGGCGGGAATTTCAACGGCGGGAGTATTAGCGACGGCAGTATTTGTGGTGGCGGGCGTAGCAACAGAATATTCACCGATGGCGGTATTAGTAACGGCAGCGCTGCTTTCGCGAACATAACTGGTACCTCCGTTAGGGCCCGCAGTACCGGTGGCGGCAACTGTACGTTGGCCAACGGTATCCTCAGCGTATGCACTGGAACCAGTAGTAGGGGTAGCAGTACTTGGCTTTACGACTCCCATGGCACTGGCTACGGAAGTGTCGTCGTCCGGAGCTGCCGAATCTTCCATGTCGGAGATGTTCTCCTCATCCTCCTCGTAAAGCTACTCGCTGATGCAGTGTTCAGCGTAGAGACGCTTTAGTTGGGCCACCATAAGCGCATCGGCGAGATGTTGCTTCGTAAGGCGTGCGTTTTTGTGCATTTGTTTTTCAGGTTTAGCTTTTACTTAACAATGAGTACTTGGACCCCACACCTGAAGCTTTTACGATCGCAAAATTTAAAGTTTATTTTAAATATAAAAGTGCTCTTCTCGGAGCGCGTGTCGATTCTGACCTTTTTCGCCCAGAAAATTCTCTATATTAATTGAGAAAGGCGAGAGGATAAGGAATAGCGGAGAAGGAAAAAGAAAAAGGAATGTGGTAGGCAGAGCTGCAGTCAGGATTGCCAATCACACAACAGGGTTGCATTCGAGGATAGAGAAATAGAAGTGTTAACAATATGTACATGTTATGTACCAATAAGTTTAATTTCTTAAAAGTAAATTTAAATCCATTAATTACACATGCAAATCTTTAGCAGCTGACCACACACAGTGCGGGCCATTTTTGTTTACAAAATTCCTTGCATAACATTATGCTATTGATATTGTCAATCTTAAGTTTATTTCTTAGCAGGGTGTCCAGATTGTTTAAAAATAGAAGAGCCATTTCAGAAAAAAAATCGTAAAAATCACCAATTTTTTTTATAAAATTCATGAAATTGACTTAAAAATCTTTAATTTAAAAATGAGATATTTTTATAACAAAGTTTTCAAAACCAAAAAGGAATATAATGCCTTCAGAGTAATAATAAATAACACAAATCACTTGTATGATAGTGATGTACAAACAATTTTCTTTAAAAATATTCATATTTTTAAGAAAATTTGTATAAACACATTTCCCATCAGGACTGCGCAATTGATAAATTTATTATAACTCATATTAATTGATTAGTCGCACAATCCGCTTTTATGCGCTCGGCTTTAAAAATTAAAAAAAAAACTATAATAGGGCGAGATCAGCTATTTCCACAAATGAAATTGCAAATTTCATATTCAGCGGGAGTTGTCACAAATGGTGGTTTAATATCGGCAAATGCTCGATACGCTACAAGAAAATCGATAACAATAAAAAGTGTTGCCACGTCAAAATTTAAGCTCTAACTCCATAACCTACTTATCACGTGTTTCGACGCATTTACATGATAGCGCACAAAAAATTGACTTAAAGGGGAAAAATCGCCAAAAATCGCCACATGCGATTTTCTAAATTTTTATGCGCAAAAATCAAAAAAAAAAACGCCAAATTTGCGCTAAATCGCCCAGTCTGGACACTGTTTCTTAGTTTAGTTTTTATCAAAGAAAGCGTTGAAAACCTGCGTTCTACAGCCGCAGAGCCATGTGGTAATGAAATTATGTTAAAAATAAGATGAGCGAAATTCATGAAGTTATTTTCGTTCATTCCATTTTCAATAAAAAAAACTTTTTCCGAAAACTTATCAATATCCAGATCGCTGGAAATATCAAGCTCACTTAGCCTCAGTAATTTCCACTGCGTGGTTATTATATCAGGATCGCAATCTATGAGATGGGCAAACTTTAACAAAAGAGGTAAAATTGGTAAATCTTCTTTAGAAACTACCTTAGCTGCTGTTATTACTTGTAAAAGTTTTACAAATCAAATCTTAAATTTATTTGGTCCAAAAACTCTATGTAAAACTTTAATATATTGGTTTTAACTTCAAGAATTTCAGAACAATTGATATTACTTTTCATAGATATCTCAGCTTTTGCTCCAACAAAAATGTCAGATATTTTAATATGATTATCTTCATTCTTAAAATCAATATTAATATTGTTACTGATCGCATCTTTTGTAATAAAGTTACTCAAAATTAAAAGATAATGTGCTTTGATAGTTGCATATAAGTATGGCAAACGAGAGCTTTCAGCTTGGAGCTTTTCTAGTGAAAGCCATCGTGTTTTACCGAAGAGTAGTCCTGAAATTCCTTCAGTTCATGTATCCTCTTTGGACTGTGGGAAAAGAAACTATATATGTATGTTGCGGCACAGTGTCTCAATGCTTTTCGGCATTTTTTTACAAGCGTAGCTTGAGCAAAGGTGAAGTGAGTGGCATGTGAACTTCATATAAAATGAATCAGTTTCTGCACTCAATAATGTTTTCAGCCCGCCCAATTCTCCATCCATAACATTGGCTCCGTCAGTGGCCAAACCAATTAGGTTTCTTATTTTTAAAGGCAGGATTGGCAAAGGTTTAAAAGGTACAATTGGCAAATAATTATATGCAAAATGGTGTTTGAAATATATATTTTTATAATTAATGTTTAAAAACTTAATTCAACTATCCGACCAAAATCTTACTTTGCCTACCAACCTACCAAATGAAAAGAAGCGACCAAATTTGGTCGGAAAAGACCAATAGTGGCAACACTGTTTCCAACGTTCATAGTATATTGGAAATACACTCCAGATGTACTCGAAAAAATTGGAAACCATAGTAATAAGAGAGAAAGTGAAATCCAGCTCATTCTTGAAGGGAAACATAAGGCATTCAATCTTCCTGATTAAAATTTCAGTTCGATAATGGGCTGGATTTCGAATCCATAATGAAGGTTCCGTTTTGCTGAAGAATGGCCTAGTTCTCGAGTCGAATACTAACCATTGCCACATTCGATTTCGAAGGTGAGAGATTCGAAAAAAGATTCGTTTTCCAATCATTTTCGAATTGTTAACCAAGCCCCAGGTTTATTGGGAAACTTCAAAATTACGAAAGTCACGCACTTTTTTCTGAAATGCTGTTGCAAATGGCTGCTTGCCAGCCGGTCAGATCTGTTTAATTGGTTGATGCGAAATTCTCTTGAACTAAAACGTTGGTAGGTATTTATGTATTTAGTTTCTTTATAAAGCCTTGCTTGAGCTGTAAAGCATTTTAGTTTTAAAATACTCGCCATTAAACACAAGCTTAATCTTTAAATTGCATTTCAATCGGACACGTTTTTTCAAAGTATTAACTCAAAAACTCTCAGTTTTAAAAAACCGAAGTAATAACTATTTGAATTTTTCGTACATTCACTGGTGTAAAGGTAAAAATAACACAGTGATACAAAAGTAAAAAAAAGATGCATATAGAAATTATGTTTATTTATAGCCCATAGGACTCGACTATACTTATAGTTTTTCTCCATCACTTCGTTTATTAGGTTTTTACTAACAAATATAATAAAACTTTGGTATTCTTCAAGTTAAAACTTCAACTTTGTTGTGTTTTGGTTGAATTTTACATTTTTTTCTTTGTTTGAACGACAAAAGAAACAAGTTTGAAAATCGGCTTTAGAAGGGCTTCGTATTGCTATTTTACTTGAACAAAAACGTAAATTTTTCGAAAAACAGTTTCTTCACGGTCTTATTTGATCGCGAGGAATAAAAA